TGTTTTCTCATATTATTTTACGATAACTTATACGCTGCTCTACCGTAACTACCACATTGTTCACAATCGTAGTCTAAAATTCAGTATCTTTTTTCTACTAAAACACTTGTGTATTTCTCTGTATGGCAACTAAACCCTCTATCGCTGACTCATCCAACCCTCCATCAAAGGTATACAGACAATGTATTAACTTTAAACAATACGATCGTACAAGTATCGATCATACGTAGAGCTATTTAAAGTTGTAATCTCTAACGAATATCGTATTAGTGTCTATTTTCTCAAACACATGCTTTCACTTTTGTTGTATATTGAAACATGGCAAAGGAGTCTACTGAATTGATTATTCCCAACGAAATTCAATCTACCTACGAACAAGGTGTAAAATTTCAGCAAAGTGAAAATGATGCACAAGCGCTATTCTATTACAAGAAAGCTCTTACTACAATCCAATCGATGTCTAAAACTAGTAACAATAATTATCATCAATTTGAACACGATATTTATATCGATATGACTGATTGTTACATAAATCAATACGAATTAGTAGAAGCGGCTAAATGTAATGACAACGCAGAGAAAGTTGCCAAGATACTACAAGATAAAGTCAAAGCTTCAAACTGCGTAGATAGGTGGGGATGCATTAAGCGATTGCAAGGTGATTTGAATGGAGCCTTAAATGATTTTTACAAATCACTCAAAATGAAGTTAAAATGGTTAAGAACCGAAGACATCAGTGTCAGTGACTTATATCATAAAATTGGAAACGTTTATGATGATCAAGACAAGTTTGATGACGCTCTATCGGTGTTTAACAAATCACTCAAGACTCAACTAACACAACTTGATGAAAATCATCCAAGTATTGCTATAACATATAGCAATATTGGACAAGTCTATAATGATCAAGGCAAGTATAATAAAGCTCTATCAATGTTAAACAAATCACTCAAGATTACACTAACAAAACTTAGCAATAATCATCCAAGTATCGCTAATACGTATAACAACATTGGACAAGTCTATAATCATCAAGGCAAGTATGATGACGCTCTATCTATACATAACAAATCACTTAAGATTACACTAACACGACTTGGCGACAATCATCTAATTATTGCTAATACATATCGCGATATTGGACAAGTCTATAATAATCAAGGCAAGTATGATGACGCTCTATCAGTTTATAACAAATCGCTTAAGATTACACTAACAAAACTTGAAGATAATCATCCAAGTATTGCTAACACATATGACAATATTGGGCAAGTCTATAATAATCAAGACAAGTATGATGACGCTCTATCTGTATATTACAAATCACTCAAGATTAAACTAACACGACTTGGCGACAATCATCCAAGTATCGCTATAACATATAACAACATCGGAAAAGTCTATAGTGATCAAGGCAAGTATGATGAAGCTCTATCAATGTTGAATAAATCACTTAAGATTAGAGTAATACAGCTTGGCGACAATCATCCAAGTATTACTGATACATATAACAACATTGCAAGAGTTTATAATAGTCAAGGCAAATATGATAACGCTCTATCAACATATAACAAATCACTCAAGATTCAACAAGCACAACTTGGCGACAATCATCCAAGTACTGCAATAACATACAATGGAATTGGACATGTCTATGTTAACCTAGGCAAGCATGATGATGCTTTATTAGTGTATAAAAAATCACTCAAGATTGAACTAGCACAACTTGGTGAAAATCATCCAAATACTGCTGAAACATATAACAATATTGGGCAAATGAATACTTATCAAGGCAATTATGATAACGCTCTGTTAATGCTGAACAAATCACTCAAGATTCATCTAACACGATATGGCGACAATCATCTAGGTATAACTAATACATATCACAACATTGCAAGCGTCTATAGACGTCAAGGCAAGTATGACGACGCTCAGTCAATATGTAACAAATCACTCAAAATGATACTAACAAAATTTGGTGATAATTGTAATCATCCAAGAATTGCTCGTATATATAGACATATTGGAAAAGTCTATACTGATCAAGGCAAGTATGATGACGCTATATCAATGATTAGCAAATCTATTAAGATTGACTTAACAAAACTTGGTGATAATCATCCAATTATTGCTAAGACGTATGGTGAACTTGGGCACGTCTATAAAAATCAAGGCAAGTATGATGACGCTCTGTCAGTGTATTACAAATCACTCAAGATTAAACTATCACAAGCTGGTAAAAATTATCTAAGTATTTCTTTAACATATGACGGAATTGGACAAGTCTATCATTGTCAAGGCAAATGCGATGAAGCTCTATCAATGTTAAACAAATCACTTAAGCTTAATCTAACACGGTTCGCTAACAATCATCCAAATATTGTTAGTTTACATAACAAAATTGCAAGAATCTATAATCAGCAAGCCAAATACGATGACGCTCTAACAATATTTAACAAATCACTTAAGTTTACACTAACACGACTTGGCGATAATCATCCAAGAACTGCTGCTATATACAAAGATATTGGACAAGTCTATAATAATCAAGGCAAGTATGATGACGCTCTATCGGTGTATAACAAATCGCTTAAGATTATACTAACAAAATTTGATGATAATCATCCAAGTATTGCTAGTACATATGACATTATTGGGCGAGTCTATAATAAACAAGGCAAGTATGATGACGCTCTATCAGTGTATAACAAATCGCTCAAGATTAAACTAACACGACTTGGCGACAATCTGCCAAGTATTGCTATAACATATAGCAGTATTGGACAAGTATATAATGATCAAGGCAAGTATGATGAAGCTCTATCAATGTTTAACAAATCACTCAAGATTACACTAAAACAACTTGGCGACAATCATCCAAGTATAACTAATACATATAACAACATTGGAAAAGTCTATAATCGTCAAGGTAAGTATGATGACGCTCTATCGATGTATAACAAATCACTTAAGATTACACTAACACGATTTGGCGATAATCATCCAAATATTGCTAATACATATGGCAATATTGGACAAGTCTACAATGATCAATGCAAGTATGATGACGCTCTATCAGTCTTTAACAAATCGCTTAAGATTACGCTAACAAAACTTGGTGATAATCATCCAAGTATTGCTAACATATATGACAAAATTGGGCAAGTCTATAATAAACAAGGCAAGTATGATGACGCTCTATCAGTGTATAACAAATCGCTCAAGATTAAACTATCACGACATGGCGACAATCATCCAAGTGTTGCTATAACATATAGCAGTATTGGACAAGTCTATAATGATCAAGGCAAGTATGATGAAGCTCTATCAATGTTTAACAAATCACTCAAGATTACAATAAAACAACTTGGCGACAATCATCCAAGTATTGCTAATACGTATAACAAAATTGGAAAAGTCTATAATCGTCAAGGTAAGTATGATGACGCTCTATCGGTGTATAACAAATCACTTAAGATTACACTAACACGACTTGGCGATAATCATCCAAATATTGCTAATACATATCGCGATATTGGACAAGTCTACAATGATCAATGCAAGTATGATGACGCTCTATCGGTGTATAACAAATCGCTTAAGATCGACTTAACAAAATTTGATGATAATCATCCAAGTATTGCTAACACATATGACAAAATTGGGCAAGTCTATAATAAACAAGGCAAGTATGATGACGCTCTATCAGTGTATAACAAATCGCTCAAGATTAAACTATCACGACATGGCGACAATCATCCAAGTATTGCTATAACATATAGCAATATTGGACAAATCTATAATGATCAAGGCAAGTATAATGAAGCTCTATCAGTGTTTAACAAATCACTCAAGATTACAATAAAACAACTTGGCGACAATCATCCAAGTATTGCTAATACGTATAACAAAATTGGAAAAGTCTATAATCGTCAAGGTAAGTATGATGACGCTCTATCGGTGTATAACAAATCACTTAAGATTACACTAACACGATTTGGCGATAATCATCCAAATATTGCTAATACATATGGCAATATTGGACAAGTCTACAATGATCAATGCAAGTATGATGACGCTCTATCGGTGTATAACAAATCGCTTAAGATCGACTTAACAAAATTTGATGATAATCATCCAAGTATTGCTAACACATATGACAAAATTGGGCAAGTCTATAATAAACAAGGCAAGTATGATGACGCTCTATCAGTGTATAACAAATCGCTCAAGATTAAACTATCACGACATGGCGACAATCATCCAAGTATTGCTATAACATATCGCAATATTGGACAAATCTATAATGATCAAGGCAAGTATAATGAAGCTCTATCAGTGTTTAACAAATCACTCAAGATTACAATAAAACAACTTGGCGACAATCATCCAAGTATTGCTAATACGTATAATAAAATTGGAAAAGTCTATAATCATCAAGGCAAGTATGATGACGCTCTATCAATACATAACAAATCACTTAAGATTACACTAACACGACTTGGCGACAATCATCTAATTATTGCTAATACATATCGCGATATTGGACAAGTCTATAATAATCAAGGCAAGTATGATGACGCTCTATCAGTCTTTATCAAATCGCTTAAGATTACACTAACAAAACTTGGTGATAATCATCCAAGTATTGCTAACACATATGACAATATTGGGCAAGTCTATAATCGTCAAGATGAGTACGATGACGCTCTATCAGTATATTACAAATCACTCAAGATTAAACTAACACGACTTGGCGACAATCATCCAAGTATCGCTAAAACATATAACAACATTGGGCAGGTCTATAATGATCAAGGCAAGTTTGATGAAGCTCTGTCAATGTTGAATAAATCACTTAAGATTAGAGTAATACAGCTTGGCCACAATCATCCAAGTATTTCTATTACATATAGCGATATCGGAAAAGTCTATAATCGTCAAGGCAAGTATGATGACGCTCTATCAATGTTCAAAAAGTCATTGCAAGTTTCTTTAGTAACACTAGGTGAGAATCATCCTCAAACTGCCCAATTCTATCGAAACCAAGCTGCAGTCTATTGTAAACAGTCTAATTATCGTCAAGCAATCTCATTCTATCGAAAGTCTATTAATTCTCTACGTAATCTGTACGGAGAGAGTCATCTTCTAATTATCGAGGATAAAAAACAAATTAATCAATGTTACGATCAATTGCAAAGAAATGAGAAGGAAGTTGCTCCATTACAAATAGACAATATCGTTCAGCAGCTTTTAGCTCAATATACAGATAATCAAACAGTCATCCACGACCGTTGCCTATCATCACCAGGTGATTTGTGTAGTCTAGCATTGCTCTAGCAGTCTTTTCCATCTATATAACATATCCTCACTCTTTGTTTTGACTAATAGCAGAAGAAAATCGACATTCAAATCAATTTGGAAGATCAAAAGATAATAACAGACAACAATGCCGTAGTAAGTCTATATACAGCATCGAACTAATTTACTAATTGGATGATATTACATGCTGACATACTGGCTCAATATCGTAAATTCATCCAAATTAAATGAGTGATTATTCCTTTTCAACAATTAATTTCAAAATAATATCACAAGGTAAAGTACGGTATGTGGGAGTAGACTAGTCAGTAAAGCCTATACTATATAGCTTAATTTCACGGGCAAGTTGGTAATAAAATTAGAAGGTGATAGTTTTTTAATACTGTTTTTAATTTAGAGGAAAACTGTTGGAATAACTTTGTCAAAATCGGCATCATCTTCAATCAATTTTACTCATACTAGAGTTAAAATATACAATCAATGGCTCAACTATAAAGCGGATGCAATAATTCGAACTTATTAAAATACTACTTTTATGCTGTTTTTCAACAGTTTAATGCGTATAATACGAATAGTTATCGTTTTCAAATAGATTAATCAAAATGAGCGTAATACTTAGATTGAAAAGAAAACTATCTTTGCATTCGCTTAATTTAATTTGTATAAAGGTACATGACATTTCTTTATCATACCTTGCGTAAATCCAATTTGCAATTTTTTATACGTTGTAACAGTTCTATTTAACAAGTCTATGACCTTTATGTCACCAATTTACAAGCCTTAATAACTTTAAAATTACAAATTAGCTAACGTTCTTACTAGCTAAATAGTCAATTGTATTTAAAAAACGAGAGTACAGTAGTGTGCTAACATGTTCGAGTTCTCAAACATGGTTTAAAATCAAAATTTGGACCTGTAATAAAAATATTTCGCAATAACTGTCGAAGTCAAATAGTATTTTCTTAGCAGGCTTTTATTACCAGGTTTTTAAGAACAGTACAGCAATAATTGATAAATACAAGAATCTAGTTAAAAATCTAAAGTATTCCGAGCTCAAAGCGAAGCGAAATCTCTTCTCTCTTGTGAGCTCATCTCTGTCGTTGTTAAATACATTTCGCTAAATCCATTTATCACAACTTAATCAATCAACAATCAGCCTTGAGTCATCATATTAAACACTTTTCTCAAATGAACATCATTATCTTCTACAATCTGAATCATTCTACATAAGATATCGCTACTCTTGTATTAATATCCAGCCCCTTTTGTTGTTCAGCATCTATACAGTTACAGTGCTTCTAGTCATATAAACCTTGTACCATAATTAGTCAACTTGCTACTATTAGTTATCAACAATTTCTAATATAGTAGTTATCAATCATCTAATATTAACTTGACAATAATATCTATTGTTAGTAACCTAACTGTATCAAATATAGCTATCCTTATAATCAAATAAGAGGCGTATCACTGCAGGACCTTTCGCTTTTCTTCGAAATAAATAACTCATCATTACAATTATATTTTACAGTAAAACTTAGCCAACATGACTATGAAAACGTAGATAAATCGACTAACAAGAATATCAGTGAAGAAAATTACAAAGGTTGGTAATAAGTAAAAGATTTGATAACATGATTATAAATAAAAGAATTGTTGTGGCTGATAACATGACATACGTTGTCTATAATATTTTGCTAGATTTATCTGATATCATTCGTTTTGGCAAACGTAAAGAATCGATGCGCGATTACACGTCTCGTAAAAAGAAAAGAATAGCAAGTGCAGACGATGAGTGAGAAGATAGTCAGTATAAAGGTTTTACTTATATGTATTCAGTTTTTGTTAACTAAATACGAGAACCCAACATATAATAATTTGCCGTAGATGTTACTGAATCCTGCACAAAAATATAAATATTGTAATCGCTATACAAATATCTTACTGTAGACGAAAACAAAGTTATACCTAAATTTATCTACAGTGATAATAAGTGAATTTCGTAAAACATCAGTAGAGATACGCGAATCAATAATTTCTAGTTCTCTATTCTCTCTAAGCATTTACTAACATCTAATTCTCTATTTTGTCGATTTATCCACTAACTATAAAAGTATGTGATCATTGCAAATATCATTAGATAGTACGGGTATTTCAATGTTGTTATGGCTTACGATATTAGTTACGAGTTAGCCAACTAAACTGTATGGGTTATATTTGATTGTACTTATGCAGCGAGGCCGCTTTCGTATATTCAATGCAGATGCACTTCAATTTTATTCTATTTTGTATTTTACATTCGATTAATATGGCGAAGTCTTTACATTGACAAGTCATCATTTAAGTCGGTGTCCGGAAGTAGACTTTCCTACAAAATACTGAACTTATTTTCGTCAGATAGCTTATCGTTATCTATAACGTTATACATGCTTTTAGCAGATGACCGCATAGTTTTATAATATTATCTATAAACCGATAATTAATGTTTATGTCGATTTACTACACATTGAATAATGTTTCAATAAACTTTAGGTTTAGTTATGTCTAAGAGAGACTAGTGTTATGTTACTGTTTCTTCTGACGATAAGAGATCGTCTGTACCAAGAATCTTACTGTAGGTAGATGTCAAGGAGGATAAACCTGACAGTGGACTTATAGCCTAATCTCTGTAACAGTTTTTGACTTTTTCTTGTTACAATATTGGATTTGTGACAAACGATTACAAGATTCGTTTAGAACTATATCTTGTTTGAGTATTTACATCCAATTTATCGACAATATTAATATAAGATTATAGATACAAGAGATCACTTTTGTCAAATTGCAAATAAATTTGTATGGACTGGACAAAATTGGCTACAAGTTTAGATCCCTCTATTGATGTAACTACTAAAAATTTTCTTCAAAACATGATATAAAGTAAAGCATAATCTGTTCAAGTAGACTAGTCGGTAAAGTCAATGCTATACTGCTCAGTTGAAGGAGCAAGTTTGTCATAAAATTGACAGGTGATAGTTTTTGATTACTGTTTTTAACTTCAGAAGAAGTTGTACAAATTAGTTATCAAAATACAACATCGCTTTGAATCAGTTTTATTCATACTAAAGTTAAATAATGCAACTAATGGCTCAACTGTAATATTTATTCATCGACAATTCAATGTGTGCAATATAAACAGTTGATATTTTCAAATAGATTAATCAAAATGAGCTTAATACTAAAGTTGACTAGAGCACTATCTATTTATCCACTTAATTTAATTTGTATATAACATATATGCGTACATGACAATTCTTTATCATACCTTTCGTTAATCCAATTTACAAGTTTAAATGTATCGTAATAGTTCCACTCAACAAGTCTGTGACTCTTTATATCACCGATTTATAAGCCTTAATAACTTTTAAAACTGCAAATTGGCTACATTCGTACTAGCTAAATAGTTCATTGTGTTAAGTAGAGAGAGTAGTGTGCAAACACGTTCGTTCTGCCCGAAGACTATACATTCGTGTTCTTATTTATAGTTTTAAAATCAAAATTTGCATCTTTCAGTTATTCTTCACTAACTAGATACAGCCATTACTAACGGACTATAAGATTGCAATAACTTATTCAATCAGCATCAATAAATCGAACGCACCTGAGTTGATGAAGCATTATCGTCAATATATAATTAATTATTCGTAGATTATTAGACAAAAGGGCAATTACTCGTTAAAAGTTCTATCGTATAGTCAGCATTATAAGCGAATTTCATTTATATGAACAAATACTGAAGTAGAAGAACGTCGTCGTATAACTTATCATACAGAATCAAATAATGTTCTTGCATTTGCAAAAACAATAATAACTAATGCTTCAAAAATCATCAATGAACGCAATAATGACATATGTATCGACGGAAGAAATATATTTTCTATCATTTTCTTTTCTAGATTTGTTCAACATCATTACTACATAGATGATATCAGCACTCAAAACCTAGTCATCGTACATCATCATTGACAAAGAAAATAACTTATAAATGCAAAATTTTACCTGTTATCTGCTTAATAGCGCCTATTATTCAAACAAAATGAGCATTGAAGTAGCTCTATGTCATTAAAACTTTTTTAACCGCTAAGATAACTAGATTATTTTAAATTTAAATCGCCATTTGTAAGGAAATTTTATTCTTTCTTTAGTTGAAAAACATCGATCATTCTTACTAACATAAAACTTAAAAGCTGTCGAATAAGTACAACTGAATGGTCTAAACAAAAAGTAAGTAGTTATATAACGTTCATATAAAACGAAATATCTGAATCAATGCTATTTCGATGAATTAATAGATATTAGTGATATTATGATGAACCCGAGAATTGGTTAATTCGTCATTTACCGTAAAAATGACACAGTAAAGATATAACAGCTACATCATTATTTTAATTACCTTTCAAAATGCTTAAATCAATAAGCGTAAATTGATTACATCTGAAATAGTATATTAAAATAAGTAACTCAGTATCGCAAATATATATTGCAATAAAGCTTGGCCAAAATAACAGTAAAACCGAAGATAGATCGACTATCAAGGATATCAACCAAGAAAATTACATAGGTTGGTAGTAATTAAAAGATTTGATTACGTGATTATAAACAAAATAAGTGTTGTGGCTGGCAAGATGACAGAGGTTGTCCATAACTTTTCAGCTGATATGTATCTTAAATTCATTTAAGATTATATCTTGTTTCATTACTTGCATCGCTATTTATCTGTAATATTAATGTAACAGTATAAACTCAACGGATCGCTTTATCCAAATTATAAATAGAATTGGTATAGATTAGACTAGATTAGCTGCAAATCTAGATCTAACCATCAATGTAAATACTACTAAATG